CATTACAGCATCAAAAATGGACTTACACCGACATGAGTGGACCTCAGCCACACTCACATCAGTGGCCATGTGATGGAAATGAGAGAACCGAAATGCGTACACACGTGCACGTATACCGAGGACCGAACCTAAGGCATAAAATGCCACTCTACCAAAAGCATGGCAAGGGATGAAAGATGGCATACAAACATGTAATTTCCAGCACTGAAACAATGATGCTGAAATGGTCATTGGTGATGTAGCTTGTATAGCCATCCGGGAATGGGAAATGTTGGGAGCACTTGGCGAGTTTGATTTGCTACTGGGCGAATCTGTTGAGGCTGCGACCTTGTTTTCAGTTGTTGCTCAGCCTACAATGGATTTCTGCGCAAGGCAACTCGAGCATGCATCATCCATCATTCGGAACAGAGCTGAGGCGGTCCACGAATTTGCGTGCAATTTACTGCTTTCCTAGATTAATTTGCTAATTAATTAGGATTTTGTACTTATTCGGATTGTACTATTTATTCGGGACTGTATATTATTTATTCGGACCCTCCGCGCGAGGGCAATGTTGTAATAAGTGTGCGTGTGTGTGATGTATGTCTTCCAACCTCACGTCTTTCTCCCTTTTATTTACCAACTTATGATGGTTAGATTAGGGCATGTTTGAATTAGCATACAGTATGATAGCATGTTTGCATTCATTCATCTGTCTTGCATACACCGGGCTCGGCGCATCATACTAATCGTATTTCTATTTCAATTCCGAGTTGAATACTTGTCAGTTGTAGCATTTCACATGCCATCTTTAGAATAGCCGAGCCTATCTTAGTTGCATTTTGCATGTGTTGCATTAGGCATTTCTGTATAGTTAGGATCATGTATGGATTTCTAACATAGCTTTTATTTTGGCTTAGAGTACTCGGTAAGTTTTATGCTTTAGCATCCTTGCATGCGTGTGAGTGACTACCATGATAGCATGCTTACCATGAGGCTATTTGCTTATGTGATATACCTGCCTGAATGCCTGTGGGTGAAGGTTAGGTTATTTGGATTGGAACAATTCATCAATTGTGAGTTTTAAGCCCACTTGAGAGTGGCAAATCATCATGTTTTTCTAAGCCCACCTGAGGGTGGCAAATCCACATTTTAGCCTACTTGCGAGTAGCAAATCGTTTTTCGAAACAAACATGAAATGTTTCGTTCCAATTCAGGCGATCCAGTCTATACTTGTATGTTGTGAGCATCACAAAGTAAATCTAGGCTAATAAGCGGAATAAGAACACATAATGTTTTCAAAACTAGATATCATGGTTAATAGAAGCCGATCTTTGATCGGGCGAGCGGGGGTGCTCACAAAATGACCTTCCCCAATCGTACCCAAGTTCCCGAGCCGAGGCAACTTTGGTGATGACGGACACATGGCCTTAGGCAACGAGTCAGGGTTTCCTAAATTTTTCAAAATAAAATATTTAGGTGGTGACTCTGTATCTGGCAAAGCAGTCCATGTTTGACACTTCTTTCAAAAAAATCTATTTTCAAAAACAATTTGCCAGATTTGGACTCTTTTATGATTTATCAGTCTTGCATTGCACTCTGCGAGATTAGATACAGGACTGTG